AAAAAAAAAGAAAGAAGCAAGCAGCACGTTTTCCTTAATCCTCAAAATATTCTGTACATAAAAAGGAAAACAAAAGAAAAATGCTTCTCTGAATATTTACAGTTCCACTCTTACAACTATGAAGATACTGACAATGTTTACTTTTGAATTCTGCAAATCAAGAATATTAAAAAATGTTAAAGGGACAAATGATTAGCACCCTTTCATCTTATAATATTTCTATAGCAAAAAAAGGGAGAAAGAATAGACAGAGGCTCAAGCCTTGTAACTGACTTACTGCAAGCAGGCTCAAGGCACTAAGACAACTGCATGATCAGTACTGAAACAAAAAAGTACTGAAATACTCCATTTTAAGTAGCTATTAGGAATGGCTATTGTACATATCCACACAACTATCTTTCATAAAGAATTTACTATGCATTATAGCAACACGATCCTGTTTACACAATAAGTTGTTGTTCCAGTCCATCAAGTACACAAGGAATTTTAATGCATCCTAAAAAAATCAATTAGGCAATGATCATCTGATTAAACAGGCACATCACACCATTCAATTTTTTCAAACATATTCATAATCCAAGCCTTCACACTGTGCTGAAAACTTCCAAAACCTATAGATAGGTATTTCAAGGAGCTGTTTTTTACACTTAACGAAATTCAGCACAAAATAAAGTATTACGTGCTATTAACATGAAAAAGCAACATCATCAAACAATGGCAGAAAAACACCCTTATTTTAATAGCTACTCTGAGGTATGTTTAGTTTTCGCAAAAATTTTTTTACAGTGTAGCAGAAGGCTTTCCTACAGCACACAGCACTAAAGCACAGAAACACTTTGACAAGGCAATCGAACAAAAGCCAAAATCTGATTACAGCATCATCAGTTGCTTGACTGAGGTCCAAAAGGGGTGAGGAGAGAAAAAAGTTAAATTAAAAGGAAATTATTGTCTTTATAGTCAGATCTTATTACTCACACTATAGTGAAATGTATTGCAAAATCAAGCCTGAGTTTGCAGGTGCTAAGTACCCTGCATATTAGGCTTTGCAATTTTCACATCACCTCTTCGTAATTCCAAGAAATTTCTAAGAGATCAGCAAGTGAAAGTTAAACCTGAAAGTATGTTTTTCTGCTTTCTGTTTTTACGTACATACTGTGATTTCCCTGAAGTCCTGGGTGAGTAGTGATAATAATCCTAAAATTACATTCATCACATGCAAACTAGAAGAGAGAGTACATGAGATGATGAGATAGCAGTATTAAGATTTACATGCAAGACCAGCATTTTAAAACCTTGGGATGCAAACACTGGCCTTGTTGCAACTTGTGTTTCAATCATGTTGAAAAGTGACAACATAAGCACAGGTCAGCTTGCTCCCAGCTTTCCCTTGCCTCCTTCACCTCTCCTCCCCACTGAAAGAGGATGGGAAAAGAGATGAAAACCCATAAGGTTCCTAACAACATAAAAGTTTCTAAGTAATTCATTCACCATACATATTTATGCCTACTGACAAAAGAGACATATACTGTTAAGTTTGCAATCCTATAAATTAAATATATGACTGTTAGTAACATCTTCCTTTTTTTATACTTCTCCTTTTATACAGGTGCAGAATAATTGGATTTTTAATTTCCTAATCCATTAAGACAATTTTACCCAAATCAGTCGACTCACACAGTTAACTGGACTTGCCCTTAAAATCTGACAAAATGCTGCAGCATTCTTCAAATTGCTTAGCATTTTGTCACGACAAGCTATCACCCATCTTCACGTAATAAATCTGGATCCCTGTTGTCAAGCATTGGAGAAGAAAGATAAAACCTCAGGTTACCGTTAGCTTCATCACAGTTTCACCTCTCTTTCCTACATACTTACGTATATATCTCAACCCCTTTATCTGTAGTAATATTAGTGAGTAAAGCAGAAAGATTGTCTGCATTTCCAATTTTGCCCCTTATATATGGCTTACTGTTTTGTCCTGGGGTTGATCATTCATAACCCATGAGACGAGTTCATTCCAAGATCAAACGCTTAGGAGACCTGGTTTCCCTCTTCACAGTATCCTTTGCAGCCATGTCACAGAACATACCCCATACTTTCCATACTCTCTTCAACATCCTGTGATTTCCACACACAGCGTTAAGAAAATTTGGGGGTTCATTCGCACCTTCCTGTTTGGTATCAAGCATGCCCAGACCCAACAGCAGCTGTAAGAGAATGTCTGCAGCATTGTGCAGACATCACTTTTTCAACAGGTTAGCAGGTTATGCTTGACACCCGTACTGCAGATGTGTAGAATGACTGCACCTGACAATATTTCATCTTTTTCACCCTCTTTAATCTTTCACTGCTTATGCCAGAGGCCTCCCTTCCCACAAGCTCTCTCCTCCACCTCTGGGCTGCAGGCTGGAACACACTATTCTCTGCTGCAACATGACACAGTCCAGGTACCTACACCTAGGCAATTATCTTCATTTCTACCACTTTCATTAATTTTAGCTGGATCTTTAGGGTGTTGTTTTTCATCTTTATTTCTTCATTTGCAGCATCCTGCAGCAGAGCCTGCAAGTTAAAATCTGTCAAGTCCCATAGTTCTAACCTCAAGCCACAACACTCGCTGACAAAGAGCCAGACTTAACATCTCAAGGTCTTCTTCAAAATTAAAAAAAAAAATCTTCACAGCTTAACAAAAAGCCTGCTCGTTTCATCCAAGGAAACAGAACTGACACCCTCAGCTATCTTTGGGCAACAGCAGACTATAATTTAAAAGAAGAACAACCATCGATGTTTCCCACGCTTCCTACGGTGTGGCACTTCCACCCTCAGAATCCATCTACCCAATGCTCTCTGCACAGTACTTAAATCTGAACACTGTATGTGTTTAAGGCCCAGTATTTTTTAACTCATCCAGTTTTCGGAAGTGCCTTGCACTTCTGATAAATTCAATGTGACACTGTAAAGGACTCTAATTTTCAGAAAGTGCTGAGATTCATCTTCTGAAACTTCTGGCAGTATTATTTCTTTTATATATATTATATCTAGAAGTACATACATGCTACACCGCCAATTTTAACAAGCGTAGCTTGGCTCTCCTTATTTAATATTCATGTCACAGGAGTAAAAATCCAGCCAGGAATCAAACTGTGGCATCCTGTGCCAAAGACAACTTACCACTCAGCTGGTAAGTTGGCAATTCAATTTACAAACTTTATTTTAATCCTTTGTAGAAAGGTGGTAATATATGAGCAATATGAAAAGAACTGGATTCAGATCATTAGAGGTTCACAAACCAAACACACGAAGCTTTGGAGGCTGTCCAAAACAAAATCATGCCTAGGTGGTGATGTCCGTTCAATAAAAATTCAATGTCATAATTATCCTCTCACTTTTTCCCCAAAGAGCATTAGCGCTCAGAACTGTGCTGCTGCTCAGCCAATTATATTAATGCTGGGAGAAGACGGATAGGGCCGGCAGCCAATCGCTGTGCCAGGTCACTGCCTGCTGACGGGTAATTTACAATTATCAAGCAATTAGCAAATGAAGTGAAAATTCAACAGTCGTCTCCACATAACGCAGAATAACTCATTTTAAAATTAAAAATATGTTTTAATAACTTCATTTTGGCTACAGTCACACAGAGAAAAATAAAGCCTGCTTTTTTCAGTTTCTCCTCCTTTTACGACTGACAAAATGCTTTGCTGTCTGAAGCTAGCAACAAATATATTGCTTGACATTTCCAAACTAAACAGTCTCTTCCTAAAAAGTAAGTATCTATTTAGCAACAGAAAAGAATAAAAATGAAGACTGCTGACAGTGGTACTATTCACCCAAGTACTATATTTGAAACTGTTATTTAATTAACTGCCTGATTAACATCCTGTCCTGGTGGATGGGTGATAATAAGAATTAGCCAGGCATCTATCTACCAGGGAGTCCAAAATTTGCTTTTCTTCTCTATATTTAACAATAAATGGCATAAAAAGGCTAATATGACACTAGTCAGTTGTGCAAAACAAATGTTCTTTCCCATTAATGATCAAGTTATTACTCTGTTGTGCTCACAACAAAGTATAGAGCTCCCATTGGTTACACTCACATCCCTAATTTAAAAAAATTGTAAAACGTAACTTCTTGATAACCTTGGTTTATCATCCCCTCTAGAAAACTACTGCATCTTTCTTAGTATATGGAATGAACATTAGAATTGACCCTCTTTAAAAGGGTAGGAAAAAGGCAGAATAGGTCACCATCAATAGTGAAATCCAAGTAGATAAAAGGAGATTCTTACATTTCTCATGTCCTCATCTCTACATGTCCTCAAAAAAAAAAAAAAAAAAAAAATCTTGACTTTAAAGAGTTGGGGAAAAAAGTAGGAAAAGCTACAGGTTCCTACCAAAAGGAGGAGAGAAAAAAGAAAACAACACACACAACAAAAAACAGCTGATGTAAATATGTAACACACTTGTGTGCACTGGACAACACTAGCCTTGCTGCACTGATGTTAGCTCTAGGTTTTCATCTTACATTTACATGTATCTAAGCAGAGAGAAAGTGAAACAGAAAAAAAAAATCCACAACCAAAAAACATAAAAGGCTAAATTATGTCAACCGGAAAACAAAGAAAACTGATGGTGTTTGACATACTTCTCTGTCCAAAAAGATATCAGCAACAAACTAAACTCTTTTCTGACTGTATGGGCTTTCAGAAAACATCCAGGCTGGCAACAGAATACATTTACTTTTAAAACAGTCCTTCGCCCTCCTTCTGCACGAGAAATACTTATTTCTGAATTTTTTTCTTTTGCATCCTCTGTGTGAGGCTTTGGGCAACGTGGTCTAGTGGAGGGTGTCCCTGCCTGCAGCAGGGGGGTTGGAACTAGATGGTCTTTAAGGTCCCTTCCAACCCAAATCATTCTATGATTCTATGATTACCACAATATCAGAAAGGAAAAGAAGGAGAGGAGGGAAACCAAAGCAACACAGAAAAATCCCACACAAACCTGTTGCTGTGGATACTGCATTCCTCCCATGGCTGCCGGGGCTCGGCCCTGCATTCCCACGGGATAGCGCTGGGGGCCGGGAGGGCCGTAGGACTGCCCAGGGTAGGGGCTGCTCTGCTGCGCCTGAGAGTGAGGGTTATTGCCCATGCCGTACAACTGAGGTCTCTTCATCACCATCGGATCCATCGGACTGCCCTGTTGTTAAACACAAGCAAAGAAACACTTTAAGATACGGAAAGAAAAAGGTCCCGATAGTCACGCTTACGCGCACGGCCAAACTATACAGGTGTTTTCTCGATGCTTTATACATCAAATATTGACATAGAAACAGGCAAAGTACCATACTCTGGTTCTCGTATTTAATTGATTGAGGTTTTCAATGGTGAGTTCAGGACTTCCATTGCATTTAAAAGAAAAATAATAATTTTGCACTCAAAGTTGTCTCTTGCCTACAGAAAAAGCAGGTATGGTAACTGCCCAATAAATTTCAGCTTAATAAATAATTAAATATACTGTTGTAAATTGATTAGCATCACTGACTTTAGTGCACGAACATGAAGAAAATTGTGTCCATCAAGAGAGACACAGGTAGTGGGCAAGCCATTTAACCTTGAGAAAACGGCTGTTTTCTTACTTTGAAAAAAGGGAAAGCGGGAAGAAAAGAAAGTTTCCAAGAAGTGCAATGCATACAGAACGCTGTATTTCAGCACTTTCATATTGCTATCGTGTGCATTAATAAGTTTCCAGATCATAAGGCAAGTCATAACCCACATTTTACATGAAAGTTTATTTGACTCCTTAATAGACCTCAGAAAATCCAAACTGTAATCACTGATGGAGGGGGAGGGGATGCAAGGCAGGGAAGTTTTATTTTTAGACTTTTGGCAGCACTTACCAAGCACCGTAACAGTTTCAGGACGGGTGTCAACCATTGTGTGGTATTACTCTCATGTTTTATTACTGAGGGCTAACTGAACCAGAAAAAATATCATACTTTGTCAAGCGCAGCACTGTATTGTTAATATGACATCCATTTTTTAATTCCTGAGTGCCGGTTATACACACAGAAGAAAGCGGGGCGGGGGGGAAAGCTTTTAAAAAGCCTATCACAATCTCGTCTTCATGAAAGAGACATATCCCTTCCTCCCCCAGGGAAAAAGACCTATTAATTCAGCCAGCCAGCCAGCCCACCCTCCCGCCAGGAGCAGGATTCCTTCCCGTGGCACATTTTGTATATGTTTTCCTACAGTGCCCTGTTGACCAGTTTCATTTTAAAGCCTCCTACGTAACATGGCTTCTACAAGTCCTTTTCGGCTATTACATTCTGATGTAATAGTTATGACAATAAATTACACACACCTCTCATTTCTTCTCATTATTGCTGTTTGTACTACTAATGCTATGGCTTTTTGTCCCTATACACACAAGGTGCCTGCTCTCCAAAGAAGTCACTGCTTAATGAACTGTAATATGTTGTTACTATTTCTTTCCTGCAAGTAAATAACTCAAGCCTTCTCACTGTTTTCACTGGCTCTCCCCACCCTTACCAATACCGATTTGCCAGCAACGTCACTAAAGCCAAATAAAGTATCCCAAATGCGGACACTCTACACCTGCAGAGGTGGAAACGATAACCTCCTCCTCCTCACACAACAGCTCCATTCGCTTCAGAAGACTGCCCTTTTCTGCAACCATAGCGAATTGCATATTCGCTTCTAATTTTGGGTGAGTATTACTCAGCAAATTTCCCTTTATTATTTCGCTTCTTTGTGGCCAGATCAGAAGTTTCTATTTTTCACCACTAAATGTCCCTGGGTAATTTACTATTTATATTTCATACTTTTCAAAATCAATGGTTCCCCAACCACTTCAGGCCACCTGACCCATAACAACAGACTTGTATTTTAATTTTTTTTTAGGCCATCATGCCCTCTCACCACACAAAACACAAACACAAAGGTCCCGCAGATGAACTAGAGATTCCTTCTTACAGGGTCCCAGGGGACAACTTAAATTTCCTCCTATAGACTAAGATACTTTATCTATTTCTGTGTTTTAATGTTCATTCTGTGCATCGCCTGTCATATTCATCTTCCCAAACATAAATCCTTGTTCAAAGCAAGTCTTGCGTTTCCTTCACGAGGTTCTCAAGAAGCCCAACAGTACTGTTCCTTGCCACCATCTTCTGCTTCACAGTATTATTTCCAGGTCTCAGCTCCAATAAGAACATTTACTCAAATTCAATTTTAATTAATTTTGAATGTAGTATTTTCTGTTCCACATCCAATACTTAAACATAATTATAAACAATGCAGATAGCTACACAGCTAAAACAGTCTGACACTTTCCATTATTAAGACTATTTTCAGGTGCATATAAACTTTGCCAAACTTCAAGCATTTAGGCTGAAATTTTCCAGGCCATATGTATGCCTGAGGCTGAAATTCTCTGGAAAGTTCAGCAGAAACAGTTCAGCTATGTCTTAGAATGAGGTCACAGAAAAATACATCGTTTATGTCCTTACATAAAACACTTAAAAATACCTCTTTGAATATCATGCTTTGGGGCAGAGAATTTTAATTTGCCAGGGTGACACTGGACGTTCGGGAAAGGCGAGGTGTGCGCCCCTGTCAAGGGAGAGCACCTGAATGTCACCAGACTGTGAGCAGCACAGGAAGAAGAAATGGGAGTGCGCAAGCAGCACAGCAAGACTTCATCAGAGGATTTACAAGGTGTACAGAGGCGGCCTCGAATTTGCCAGAGAAAGAAAAAGGGACAATGGGTTAAAAAAAGCAGCAGACACAGAAGCGGGGCAGGAAGAGTTGAAGGGAAGAGGAGGAAACAAGGTCAGGAGGTGACACAATACAGGCCAAAGAGCCTCTGTCCTCTGGACTAGTGACCTCCAAGCAGCGGAGGTTTTTGTGTGCATGTTAGAGTGAGACACACTGCCACTTCGTCCTTCCTTCCCTTCTCCTCACCAGCCAGTTTTCTCTTCACTTCTTGTCCTCCCCAGAAAATCTGCTACTCTTTCACTCAGGTGACATCCCTCCACTTCAGGAAGGTGGAGGGATAAAGAGCCTGAGATACTGCTGTAACTCCAGCCTGCAGGCGATCCACGCAAGGCTGGAACCAAGGGGGCTGTGGTCACAGGGATGGGTAACAAGGGACCTGGGTGTACTCAGAGCTTACTGCCGACCCTACAAGTCAGGCATCAGGATCAAGGACTGGAGACACTGAGTATGAGAGGGCTAGACTAGGAGAGCAGTAAATACCCCCAGGCAAATTACTGGGAGGACCCAGAGATACCCACCCCAGCTGTCAGTGCTGACTGTTCCCTCTTCCCTTCACGGTCTCCAGGAAAGAGCAAACAGTGCAGAAGAATCCTCTGATCATCTTTAGGACCAGAGAAGACAGACCCAGTGAGGAAGCACATCTCATCCCATGCACTGGCCACCCTATGGAGAGTGGCAACTCACCACTGCTATTCCTGACTACCTTCAGGTTAGATCCCAATCATCTGTGCAGTGCAGTTAAAGGTGAAGACATCTACCAGTGACTCAGTGGATGTCAACATATTTCTGCAAGGCAAAACAAACCCGAATAGCTAGCTCTTCCCCAGGTTCAAGAAACATTACCATGGCAGAAGTTAAGAGCTATTGGAATTAAGTTTGCCCTTGCAACATTAAACATGTCTCCTTCAGAGATATAACTGCACCAGTCTTTAAATACACCATCACACTTTGCCCTTGCAGGCAGCGGATGGGCCTGCTCTAGGGATCAGTCGACAGCAGTGCAGTGAACGGGCTCTTGCGTGATATAGGACCGAATGCTTCACTTATCATATGGGTAGCGAACGAAGCAGAAGAAGGTCTTACCATTAAGGGAGCTATTTGCTGCTCAGGCAAAAATGAAGTCTACCCCTGCATCTGCCACAGTTTTTCACTAAAACAAAAAAATTTCAAAATTCACCGATTTAATACATGCCTTTTTTTCCTGACTTGAAATCATGGGATTTAAATTGCACAGAGTGCTGTGTACCTACAACTGCAACTATTTTGAATTTGATGAGATGTGTTTTGAAGGTGTTTTCAGAAGCTCTATGTTCCAGAAAACTTAACCTACAGCCATCATAAACAGGCCACTCAAACTTCCTATAGCAATGCCTCAGTTTCCCAACTGTACAAATGAAAAAAATCATCATCTCCTCACCAGAGAGGTGATTAAATTTAGAGTTTAATATGACCATGAGCAATACCAAAAGAAACTCTCTAACAAAAGAATAAATTTTGTCTTCAGAACAGCGTATGCAGAGAAAGACCTGAAGCCATACATTTAACAGAAAGAAAAAACAGCTGGTCACCCCATACTATGTGTCCCGTACAGTGAAGGTAAAAATTTAATTATAACTTTTCCCAACTTTAACACATGCACAGTTTTCAGCTTTAGCATTCTTTTAAACTTAAAGTTTCATTTTTATAGCAAAAGTTTCTTTCATCCACAATGTTTTGAAAAGTTATTTAGAAGGAGTTGTTTAGTTGAGAAATACATATCATAATCTTACCTGAAGGTTCCTTTAACATTTATTAAGTTCAAATATTTTCTTTAAGATCAGTTCCAACAGTTTTCAAAGACAAGTTTTGGGTGACAGGATGATTATGACAAGTATCAACCTCTGTGTTGTATGGATCAACAACCAACCCCTCCTCACCTGCTCCCTAACACTTACCAAAAATTACAGTATTGCTGTAACAGCATCATGTTCTTCTAAAACCCAGTGAGCACGTATGACCATGAATGACGGCATCTTCCATGCCTTTACTTAATTCTATTACATGCTGTACTACAAAGTTTTAATTATTTTTTTAGTTTTATTTTAGTTTCATTGCAGTCATCAATATCCATTTATTTCCTTTATCTTCCTTTACAGAAAGGTCCAATTTCTCTCTAGTGCTATTTTACTCCCAATATACACATTACTTTTTTTACCAATTTAGCTAGTGTTTGCTCCTGCTATTTTTACTGCCATATTCTGCCAGGCAAGCCTGAATGGATTCGGCCTTTTGCTTCTGATTCTGCACCTCCTCTTCAAATTCCCGCATTTCATTTAAACTTAGCATAGATCTGCAGTTCCTCAAAATACCTCAGTCCTGTTCTTTGCTTCAGTCCACAGTAATATTATAATTTATAACTCCTTTATTATAATGCCTATCTTGTGTCAGTATCAGATTCATTTGCACTTGTACTATCAGGCTTTGTAAGAACAGAGCATTTCATAAGTCCTTGCCTATTATGTGCCTTGTGAGCACATTAAAACACCCAACAGAAAGTTTGCTAATGATTTCAACAGGGCCAAGGTTTCATTCCCAGTATTTAGACTGACAGTCCAACCATTAAGGTGGGATGCAGAAAAGCCTACACTGCTTACAAATAGTATCTGACAACCTTTTTCTGTTACCTGCTCTTTTTTTAATGTTTGGTATAGAAGAATGCATAAACTCAGCATCCCTGCTATAAGCAGAAGTGGAAAAACTAATATTCTGCTCTCACTTGTAAACTCAGTATCACCACCACTTCTGTTCTCCTCTTAGCCAAAAACAATCAAATAAATCACCTCAACCTGAAGTACCTGGAGATTCAATTTTACCTTTTCTAAAGTGAGAGAAAAGAAACACTACCATTTCCCCTCATCATTTAACCAGTGTCTTCCCAGAGAGCTCGTCTCCAGTCAGATCTGAGACAGGGTACACACTAGAGTAACTTGAGCAGCAGGGTGACCAAGATGTAACAGCTCTTCTTTTTGGGACATAAGTGATGTTACATACGATATTATATATATATACACACACACACACACTAAGTTATCAATGTATGTTTCACTTCTAACACCAAAATCTTTATTTGAAAGACATTTATTAATACAAACAACACTGGTGACAGTCCCCAAATGTAACTTAGTCCTTTAAAGATGCCACAAGGAACCCCACCACTAAAGTCTCCAGGCAGGGAGGAGCAGGAGACACTTTATAAAGGTCACAGTGGGATTCAGATGCGATGATAGAGCTCTTACACAAGGCAGACAGAGCAATTCACTACAAGACAAGAGTATTCACAAGATATAACCACTCTTCAAGTGAAAGCGTGCTTTTTTGTTTGTTTAAACAAAAAAAATTGAAAGAAGCATTGGTTTGGCTGGCAACTGCAAATGCTGCAATTTAAAGGGACTATAAGCCACAGTGCAACTCAACAACTAATGCTACATCATTTGCGCCTATAACAAAACAACATGAACTCAACACTCTCAAGTAGGCTTGCCCTCAAACTCCTAGAGCTACTGAATACAATAACTCTTTGTTTATTCATTGATCTGCAGCCAAAGCTTCTTTCTCCATATTAAAAAAAAAAAAAAAGCCTCTCTATTAATACCAAAGCCTTGAAACCTTATAATAAGGACAGCTGACAATCAGCTACCGACATTCCAAGAAAGATGGGCATGGAGCTCTCAGCTCTAGGTCAGGCACCACGTTACAAATTTATCACTAGAGATAATCACAAGTATTCACTATAATACAATGACACAGCTGGCAAGAGGACCCAACTGAGGAAAAGATAATCCATTCCTAGATAATGCCATCGTTTGTATGAACATGTACAAGGACTCCTCAGCCAATGTTTTTACACGACAAAAGCGTGAGTAT